TGGAGAATTGCCACCAACTTGGCGGTTCAGTGGAGGAAAGCTTGATAAATGAAGACTGTGAATAGCTTTTGAACACCAAACGCTCCACGAGTGTGTCTGACTTGAAAGGTACTCTCCGTGGGGCAATCCTGATTAATCTCATGAAAGTGAAACAGTTCACTTTATTTTAGTTTAAACAATCATCAGTGATGCACTTTCGTGCTTCGGTTTGGATTGCCCATTTGAGTGAAGGCGTAGAAGAACGATTGGGAAGTAGAAAGCAGTGTGTAAGAGAAAATTGCGCAAAGTTGACATGTTTAGCTAACCTGGCGACCTGTTTGAAACTCAATCAGGGAAACATTGAGTCACTTTATAAACGGGGACCGATGCGTAGGCGCGTGTTGCACGTTCAAATGGACCTATGCATAGGGTACCTCGGGTAGAGCACCAAACGCGAGAGTCAAGCTGGTTCAAGTCAAATCAGAATAAGCTTTATGCGCCCGAAAGATGAATTTTCAGCGATTTTCACAAGAATACAATAGAAGTGGGGGAAAATGCAGAGGAATGTGAATGGGATAAACAAAACGATGGTACACTGCGGGCAAGAAGATGACAGTAATAGTTTAGAAGATAAATAAATAAATAAACTCATGAGACGTTGCACCAGACCTGTAATAATTTGAAACCCGGTTCACTATAAATACGATTAAGATGAGAGAGAATGCTGTGTCTGTATGCCGTGAGCCTATAATGGGAGCAACTGCGGGGGGTTGACATTGATTTAAAGAGTTCGCTGTGCAAGCAGTGGTTTTCGTTGTTCAAGATTCTAGTAGTTATTCTCTCACATGCGTCGACATGCTTGCACGCAATAAAATCAACCAGGACATTTCTGACTATGCCATTACATGGGAAAAAGGATTTTTATGGATCTGAAAACTAATATGAACTCCTTTTGTTTCTAGATTGAAGAAAATACAGTATGAGCAAAGAGTGAGGATGCATGCGACCACTAATTTGAAAATTATATTGGTTCACCCGAACAATTGTCTGTCAAACTATGGAACAAAGTCTTTCCGAAATCGGAGAGCAGCTTACCAAGCTGTACTATATTGCTCCTCATCTTATAAACCTTAGTGCTGCAGAAGTTCACATCGAAACGTGGTTGGCGCGAAGGGCGCTTCATCAATCGACATAACCACGAGGAACCGTGTACGGATTCCGTTCAACTTTCCTTCGAATGCAGCAGTGCACGAGCGTGCTCGGACCATGGGAAATAGACGATTAGATAATCACCTCGGACGCGCTTGACTTTGACGGATTGGGATGCTCGGGTTGCGACACACATCAGCCCAGATGCAGACCATTCGGTATTTAACAAAAAGAAAAATTGTGACATTCGATTCTCCCTTACTAAAGGTGAACGCTTAGCAGAAACAGAACGCTGCATATTGGCGATCGGTACATTCCGCAATTGGCAACGAGAATCATCCTGGTGTGACTTTATCCTTTGATCTCATATGAAAGAACCGTTTAAGAAGTACAACGACCCTGGTTGGGTGTCATGTGTAACGTTGTGCTCACAAATCTGCACCCCTATTCAGTCATGTTCGTCGGGACGAAACACTCTAACTCCCGCGACAATTTTGGTGGTAGACGGTTGTGCTGTCGTCCCGTTCAAAACCACCCCTAACCGAGCGGGGTCTTATGTGGTTAGCCACGAGAATTCCCAGTGCTTAGATTGCCGGTTTCCATCAGAGAATATCAGATCTATGCGACTATGAGGTTCACACCGTCTGCTGTTCATTGCACACGAAAATAGTGTGTCAGAAGCAAACAATTTTGATCACATCTTTTTCGACAGCACTCATCCGGTTAAATCCGCAATGAGTAAAGACCTATATAATTTGGCAATACCGGTCCAGTACAAGCTGTAACATGCTCGCACAACTGCGTGCCGTCAATCTGACATGTCTCGTCTAGCGAACTGTTAGCGCAGCAATGTTTCTTTCCCCAAACGCCGAGCTGACAAGAAGGGTTTTCAATCTTAAACCTCGGTATCTTGCTTTATTGTCTAATACCGCTTGGAGGATGCTAATCGACTTTCTGTATTTGAACACCCAGGTCTCCGAAGCATTGCTCGTGTCTGGTGGGAACATTGGGTGAGCAATGACAAGGTCCGTCGTTGTGCGTTGGTTACGGATAATCGTTCTCTAACAGATGTAATCGCTCTCCACCGCCTCCGATGGCTTGGTCACGTATTGGGTATGCCTGCCCATCGACTACCTTCCGTGCTCTATTCGCACGTGCCGGCGGGCAAGGCTGGAAGAAGCGCCGCGGCGATCAGACCATGACATGGCGTAGAGGTTTGAAGAAGCTAGCTCCAGCTTTGGCTTCGGTTGGTGAAGTCTGCCTTCCAGGTTGGGACCCAACGGATGAGGATTGTCGTTGGTTAGAGACGCTAAGGGATATGGCCCAGAATAGAAGTCAGTGGTGTGAATGCTGTACGGTTTGTCTGCTGAAGATTCGCGCCCATAAAAAAGATAAACTGACACAAAATTTTAGAGCTGGGATTATCCCATTCGGTTGTTCAGAAGCACCAGGGTGATAAACGTCGACCGTGTAGCTCAGGGGTAAGGGTCTGAAGTCCCGACCCGATTGATCGCGGTTCGAGTCCTAACAGGGACACAAAAAGTACGCACGGCTGACGAGTCCCAAACAAGACGAAACAGCTGTCCAGTGCTCTTTGTTGGTTAACAAAAACATTTCCATCGCATTTAAAAACACAAAATATTTCAAAAGTGTACAATGAAACACACAAAAATTATCCCATTTATTTGCAATTTTCCATTTTATCAGTTCCATCTTTTCACTATGTTCTGTATCCCAACTCCCCTCCCGTTGTTGTTATTTTTATTATTGTAGTGGCATTGGCACCACGCTTTTCCGCAAGCCGGTGCTTCATATATATATATATATATATATATAGATATAGATATAATGGTGGTATGAGTCATTCCGGAACATGCTGAGAAGGTGACCTCCCCCTTTGGGATGAATAAAGCAACTGGTTGATTTGTCTACCACGGTCGGTTGTCGGATCACGGATATATGAAAGCCTCAGTGCAATTGTGGAAAATTGTAGACACCGGGATGAAAGTCACATTGAACCGCAGTAGTGTTTCGAGTTTTTCCCATACGCCATACTGAATGACATGGCTCCAACCTTAGTCTTCATTTTCACTTCGATACCGATTTGAACATTTCAATTTTCCCTTTACTGTTTCACCGAAATGGTCAGTTATGAGACAGCAAACAAAACCGGCGCACAAAAGTGCATAGATAATGATTGTTAAAACAGGACATATCTAGTGTAATCAAATTCATGAGAGTAATCAAGAACCGGAGCATGTGTGCGAGGATAATGGTTGTAGAAAACTGCCGTTGAATAGAAACACGATACAGTCCCAATGTTCATATATACGATATACGCGCTTTCATGTGAAGGCACACAGGGTCATACTTTGAAGGACCTAATCTGCCACCCGGAATTTAGTGATGCACTAAGGAAGACGTGTCAGACACGTAGCGAATATGTACGGTGACGATTTTGTGTCTCACACTGTCCGATGAGAAGAAAAAACGTGTGTGGATTAGCCCCTCATGAGTTAGGCCCTAACGAACAGAAGCCTTTGATTGTGCATTCGCAAGAAAACTACTCGTTCTGGTTGGGGGCTTCTCCCAGCAAAATCGTGCCGGTGAAAAGAAACACGGTTTTTTCATGGTCATTAAGAGTTTTCACATAGCCACCATCATCATCGCCTCCCAAGGACTCAGTATGGTTGGGGGTGGGTGTCTAGGGTTGCGGCCGGTCACCCTGCCCTTGCACCTCACGAAATGCCCCCATACGACCAAGCGTCTCAAATAG